AATGATTCAAGAGATGTATAATACACGCATATTATATGTTACATAATTCTTCTGTTCGTGTGTATGTGACTTAACTCCTCCTAAACTGATGGGCCGATTTTTATGATATTTTGTGTGTGTGATTAAGTTGATTAGAGAATGGCTTAGATTCACAATTGGAAACGGTAGGTGGCGTTGTTGTCGAGATCCAGAAATCAATAAATCAATAAAATAATAATAATAATATAAAATACGATTACGTCTATTTAAAGTTCAACGATCCAACTGTGAGTTTGCAACAAAACATCCTCAGCATCTCATTGGCTGCAACAGTGATAGACTGTGAGATGTAACTAATGAATTCAATTCGCTTGCTGACGAAGAAAGTGAACATAATTACTGCAGATAAAGTTTCTTTGCTCACTGTTACGACATTGTTTCTGACAGACTACACTTAAATCATTTATTTTAATTGTTTTTAATTGAACGGAGATTACTCAGAGATTTTTATTGTGTTTGGTTATTAGAAGAATATCCAATAATAATTTAAAAAGTTTTTTTTTATTGAATAATTGTGACAAACGAGCACACCTAATGACGGCTCGGTTGCGCAGTGGTTAAGAAAAGACTTACGGCACTGAGAGCAGTGGGCTCGAATCCTGCACAGACCAAGTATATGTATGACCTACATTATGTCTGATGGTTGTTCTTGTGCAATTTATGTAGCTAAACTGCTTCCAACGATACAGGAGAAAATCTTAGTGTGAAGGGGTAACTTATTTAAAAAAAGTTAAGTGAATGCTCTGGCCCATAAACATCTACATTTAGAATAGAATCCTCAATGGATGAAAATACCTCGTTTCCAGTAAAAAGGGTCTCCGGTTCTCTACACTCACCATACGAAACACAGTAGTATTAAGCTATTTTGTGTCGTTATCAGTAAAAAACTGCCAATAACAAGATGCGTTAATAAGTTTAAAGTGAGACAAAACCACTTGCAAATAAATATTATTATATTAACTTCCTTCTGCGTAGCATTGAAAGGAAGTTAATTGTTTTAGCTGGCAGTCTGTTAGTCAGTATGCCGACACGATAACTTCCGTTCCACTGGACCGATTGACTTTAAATTTGGTATGTGGATACCTTGAGGTAGTAGCTCGGTCGAGTTTGAATTTGGGTCCTGTAGGTCAAAGGGCACCAGAGATATGGGATTCACGCAGAAGGAAGTTGTTTTTCTTGAATTTACATTCAACTCGTTTTTTAACCATTCGTCAAATTTATAAAATGTTGTTATTGCAAGCAAATTGTTATATGTTACTTAATAAAGTTATTCTCGTTCTTCTCTCTTTCTAAATATAAAACTTGACGCCCGGTCATAGACAGTAAAAGATCGCACGAGGTCTTTGACCATGTACAAGTGATGGTTGTCAGTTCTAGACAATTAGCCTGATTGTTTTCCCTTGCCTTCCGTGACTTGTAAGCCGACGCAAATTTTTTTTACTCCTAGATAACTTCTTACTAATTATTTGTTATAATATGACATATTTTGATAGAGATTTTTTAGAGTTTAATTATTCTTTAAAGTTCTATTACTACGTGGTAGAGCCATGTTGCAGTTATATTATAGATGTAGCACGAATGGGTCGGCTCGACCGGGGAAGGCGTGGTCCTCACAGAATACCAGCGTAAAATAGCAGCTTAATGCTGCTGTATTTCGTATGGTGAGTGTGGAGAACCGGAGACCCTTTTTACTGGATACGAGGCATTCCATATCAGTCCTAAGATGAAAAAAAAAATGAAAAATGTTTATTTTACAGAAAACAACTACAACTCATTGAAGTATCCGTTGGTACCCACACTAGGTAATCCTGTATCGTGGGTACCTATTTAGCATTGACTATTTATGTTTAGTTTTCGCTTGGTTTACTTAATCACAAAATTTAAATTTTAAAAACTAGTATAAAATGAACGAAGTATAATAAGAGATAGAGTAAAACGTTGCATTTCTTAATAATAATGCTAGTTGCCTTTATGCTAGGTGTAAGAATATTTTTTCGGTCGAGTCATAATTTAAAGAAGCGAGCCAGGAAACAATTTTTGTTTTAGCTTCTTTTACAGAGCAATGTTTTATATCGCAAGCGCTGACTACTTTATTGTAAATTACCGAATCTATGTAGGGACTGAAACGTCTGGCAAAATACAAATTGGTTTTGGGTAAGCAGACCTTGAATACTCTTCGTTTGAGTAATTTTTGTTGTCTTTGCATGTAATTACAGATTGATGGACTTTGAGAGCTAATTTTAAAATGTATAATTGACGCACAGTAAGGACTTTACTTTCCTGATGCAATCTATCTGTTGGATATCTAAAGGGTTTCTTTAGCATAGTTTTAAGAACTGATCGTTGGGTTCTTTCTAGTTGTATAATATGTGTTTTAAGATGTAACAACGCATCTCTATTTTGATTCTTAGTTGAGGATAAATGCAGATGTCTATGGGCCTCAGTATCTGATTAGCATCAGGTGGACTGTGTGATCGTTTGTCACCCTTATTAAGTGGCGAAGCTTGCGAAGTCACTTATTGATTTCACGATGTCTGTCCGTCTGTCCGTCTGTCCCACGATTATCTCGAGAACGGTTTTGAATTTTCAAATTCTGTTTTCAGCTATCGATTACTGATCACCCAGGCATCTGAACCTCCTATTTTGAAACTGATTGCTCAACGGCAACCGTTAGAAACCGCTACAAAGCTGATTGCTTCGCCACTTTGCTATGCTGTTAGCTTGCTAGGTTTATTGTATAAAAAAATCTAATATCATAAATCGGTGACAGGAGTTTTTTTTTTCATTTATTCATTAACTAGCGATTCGATCCGACTTCGCACGGGTGATTTCTGCCACCTATCGATACACAAACGTACACAAAAAATTCATCAATATTATTCGAGCTATTTTTGAGTTTTAGCGAGACAAACGGACAGCAATTGACTTTTATATATATATCAGATTACAGTCAACTGTTAAATATAGGGCTTCCCCATAAAATGGTTCACAATTTTTGTTATATTTAAATCCCGACGCTTTAAGTGATGTACCGCCATTGGGAATGGTGTCAACTGTAAAGTATTCTTCGTATTGGTTTATGGCGGGGTCACTTGAATAGTCTCCGTATAATGTGCATAATGGATATATAATGGATATATCGTGTCACTGGGGTACCGGGTACCCCAGCAACGTTTGACGTCCTGACGTCACAGTTAAGAGTCAACCCGGCATACCGTTAGCTTTTAATCAATTATTTTAGTTCGATTTACGCAAAACGAACTCATTACATTTAGAAGACTTGCAATCTTTTTTTAATATGTATTATTCGCGTAAATAGCAATTCTTATTTATATCAGTGTCATTAATTTATTAATGTATTTAACAATGTATTACGTCTATTTTTTTCTACTGATGTCAATCGAATCTAATGTTTATATATTCAATCAATTATTGTATATTATTATTATTATTTATCGTAATATTTATTATAATTTATGTAATGTCGTATATATTACTGATTTATTAGAAGTAGTAGTAATTTACGCACTAATTTTACTGTAATTACAACTTAAAAAAAGGAGGAGGTTTTCAATTCGACTGTTTTTTTTTATATGTCTTACCGCAGAACTTTTTTTTTTGTCGTACCGTTTTTGATGATTCTTTTTTTATTTAAAGCTAGTGCTTCTCATGTATCAAGATCTGACTTGTAGTTTTTGAGTTATCCTTAATAATACTTATTTAATTGACTTTGACTACATTGATGATGTTCTCATTTTATTATATTTATTTTGATGTCGGTTGTACAAAATTTATAATTTTTACCAATTGTTTCAATATATTTTCCTTTATAGATCTACTGGAAAATATTTCAGTAAATTATGGAATAAGTAGAACCACTGTACGAACTCACTATATGTTTGTTTCTGTATCTTGTCGTGTAAATACACAAATAAAAATAACTATCATGAACAGTATGAAAGTTGCAATGTAAGTATAAGGTGAGCGTAAATATAACTGTATTTCGTTATTAAAGTCACTTTGATGGCGTCGTTAACAAAATTGTTATTACAGAAATTTGAAAAGAATGTAGTAAACATTTTATGTAACACACTTATCTTAGATCATTCGCCATGTTTGCGTGTACTCACTTCCTCCATATAATTAAAAACATTTATAATTTATCGCATCATAACGATCAAAACACGAACTAGTTAGCGCAGTTATAACTAAAAAATACACAAATTGAAGTCAAAACCTCATTAAAAAATCTCAGAAAATATAAAAATTTGATCTACGCAAAATTAAAAAATTTAATTAAACAAAGTTTAATGATTTCTTATATTTTCGCGAATACTACAGATGAAATAAAACTAAATTTACGGACTTTATCGCGTTTAATTTTAACTTTTTTAATTCTCGACGTTTCGGGCACTTTCTAGCGCCCATGCGAACGTAAGGTCGGGATTTAAAAAAGTTAAAATTAAACGCGATAAAATCCGTAATAATATTTGTATAAGTAGGGTAATATTATGCCTTTTTAACAACAACAAATTATTATATTTGAAAGAAAATTTTAATATTTACCCAAAGAACGGAGTCATTTGAGTAACTAACCGTTGCACTAACACATTCAGGACATTTATTAACTGTTCCCAACTCTTTCAAGTAAAATGCGATATTAAAAAACTGGTTGTATAAAGGGGTTTATTACAATGTTAAGGAATTTGTGGATGATAATTCCCTGGGAATGAGATGATAGCTAACGCACTATTTCTAATTTGTTTTACGTTATGTGATTGAAAACTGTTCATTTAAAAAATCCCGCTGGATTTCTTACTGGTTGCTCCCAGGATAGAGGTTTTTTTCCGAACCAGTGGTAAATACATAAGTGCGACTTTCAATAAGTATTGTTTATAATATATATTGAATAAAAAAATATTATATTTCCGTTAACTAAGTAGAGAGTTAAAATTACTAACCGTTTCCTCCAGTCCTGTATGAAGCTCCAATCGAATTGATCTTCATCGTCCAGCATAGTAGCCTCGTGACGTTCGACTCCAGTTCCACCATGAACCAGCTCCACCAACTGACGTGCTCGTTCGAAGTTCCCTTCAAACTCTACCACCAGAAATCCATCAGGACTCAGCGTCTCGAAAACATCCTTTTTGTAAGTTGTGTCATTTATCGCTGGCACTTCTGAAATTTCTGCAGCACCTTCAGCGGGTTTGATCTCAGAATAAATAGCCTCAGGTACTTCAATCTCTGATATTAATTGCGTTCCGCCTTTATCTTCTTCTCTACTAGTTTCCAAATTTTCAGTATCTTCTGAAGGACGGTTAACGTAAATAGCTTCTTCTTTTGACGGCGTACCTTCTCTTTCTCTAGCTTCTCTCTCCTCTCTTTTCTGTTCACTGTGTTTACGAATGATTGAATCTCCAAAGTAAATGACAACTTTGTTATTGTTTTGCGTTATTTTATTAGCCAATTCACCATCACGAGTGGGTGGTTTCACTTTTTTATTTTTTTCTTGTGACAGTCTCTCAGCCAGCTCTTCATAACACGGTGGTCTGTTGCTGAAAGCCTTTTTTTCGCTCACCGACCCTTTTTTATCATCCTTTTTCTTTTCAACACTTTGATACACTGGTGGCCGGCAACATTCATCGAACTGTGACGTCCACGGTTTGGGTGCATTGTAAACGTGCTCATTATGAGATGAAGCATGTGGCAACGGCATATATTTTTCATGAACAGTTTTGGAAGGTGATCCTTCACTTTTTCTAAAATTAAGAACACTTCTGCGCACCTTAGAATCAGGAACATCACTGGTATTAACTTTCTTCGAACGCGAGTTCCCCAACATTTTAAAAAGCGGTTTGTGTTCCATGTGTGGTTTGATTCTGTCTGTACTAGGAGCTCTTCTAATTGGGTAAGGTCCTGGTTCTTCCTCTGTCTTTGGATACAATTGCTCGCAACTTGTAGACTTGTGTGCAACGATCCGTGTTTTGGGATGCGCTTGAGGCTCCCTGTTCTGCCAATGTCGGACTGACAGTCGAGCGGCGCCGCGGATGAATTTGATAGGTTCCCAAGCCTCCGCTTTCTTGAGAATAAAATTATCGGACATGTTGTGTTTGGCCGGTGGTTTCCTCGCGTCTGCTGCGCGGCAGGATTGCAGTTCTCGACACAGGAAACAAGAGCAACGCGCAGAGCACAGCATATCTGTGCCGCAGTGTCGACCGCACTGTCGTCGCGTCTCGGACTCCGCAAGAGCCATTGTTATCCCCCGCTACGTCGCTCACGGCATGCGAGCTTCACGGATTAACGTTAACGCACCGTCGCTAAGTTTTAGGGCACGTAATTGACGTGTTACATGAAAGCCTTTCTATAACTCCATATAATAATACTGTTACAATTGTTCTTATCAATCGATTATGTGGCTTTGTGTGTCGCACGAAGTAATATACGAATTTGGGGAAAATTTGGTTTTCCGATTTAATGTTAAAGTTATTAAATTGAATTTCTAAACAGTAAATGTTATAATAAATTTATTTCACAAACCATGCAAAAAGGTATAAATACACTATGACAGAGATTACATTTATGTGCTAATTCATAATGAGATTAATTGAATAAAACTATTTTCTACGCATTTTATCGGTTTTTTTACTTATTTTTAAATTCCAACATTTCGGGTACTTTGAAGCACCTATGGTCACTCGGGAAATACGAAAGTAAAATTGTATAGTTGTAATCAATGTGTAGTGTTCGTGTAAATATAGGAAATCATAATGGTACTAAATTATCATCTAGAGAGGGCTAGTTATGATTTCGTGGGTAGAACAATTGAAAATACAGTAATTTTTTATGCACCTATTAACTACACGTTATACGTGCACATGCTGCAGTTATATTAGTAGTTTAGTTGTAGCACGAATGGATCGGCTCGAACCGGGAAGGACCACGCTCTCACAGAATACCAGCGTAAAGTGGCAGCTTAACACTGCTGTGTTTCGTATGGTGAGTGTAGAGAACCGGATAACCTTTTTACTGAAAACGAGGCATTCCATCTTAGTCCTCAGGGGTGACAACGCATCTGCATTTATTTCTTAATCGAGGATAAATGTAGATGTCTATGGGGCCCAGCAACCACTTACCACCAGGTGGGCTGTGTGCTCGTTTGTAACCCTTATCCTATAAAAAATGTGTATTTAATTGACGTCGACTACATTGATGATGATCTCATTTCATCTTATTTATATTGACAGTTGTACTAAATTTTTAATTTATATTTATAATTTTGATCAACATCTGACTAGTGGTTTTTGAGTTATTCTCAGGGGTGACAACGCATCTGCATTTTGATTTTTAATCAAGGATAGATATCGATGTCTATGGGCCTTAGCATTCACTTACCATCAGGTGGATATATTCGGTGCCGTTACAGCCTTTACAAGTCCAACGTTTAGACCACCGCATAGGGAATATTTACCATAATTGCCATGTTTGAGAGAATATTTGCTATAATTGCCATGTTTGACAGAATATATGCCATAACTACATTGTTTGGCAACCACATATTTATTTTTAGTTGTTACTCGTATTAGGAAGACACTGCTGTCGATCTCTTGGTTTGTTTTCTGCCGACTTCCAAAAAGGAGCCGGTACTCAATTCGACTGTATGTTTTTTTTTTTTCGATTTTTTTTTATGTGTGTTACCTCAGAACTTTTTTCTGGGTGAACCGATTTCGATGATTCTTTTTTTATTTGAAAGCTGGTACTTCTCGTGTGGTCCCATATGAATTTGATCAAGGTCAGACCAATAGTTTTTAAGTTATTCTTAAATAACTTATATTGAAGTCGGCTGTACAAAATTTTTAATTTTAAATTATTATCTATTGCCTCACAATATTACCCACGGGGTTATATTATGATGTATTGTGATGGTGGATATTCTTACACCGCCACTACATTCGGTAACCTTAGGCGAAACCTTTATAAAGAAAATTTGTACCAATTTCTTAAAAACAACGACTATATCAAAAATTAAAGTCAACCTATATACGTCACACTGCTGGGCACAGGCCTCCTCTCATTTCTGAGAGGGTTTTAGGGCAAGGAAGTGTCAGCCGCGCTGTCCCAGAGCATGTTGGCGAACTTCTCACGTGTTCGAAATATTTTTTCTTATTTCTCAGACATACAGGTTTCCTCACAATATTTTCCTTCACCGCCGAGCACGTGGTAAATCAGCACTTAAAATTGCAATTAACAATTTCATTGGTGCCGGGGGATCGAACCCAGGTTGCACGCGTACTGTGAAATCGACAGCGAGCGCTAACCATCTGAGCTACCACGGCTCGCACGACTATATCGACTTCTGAATAACTGTTATAACTCAATTTATTTGTAATCATTTTGTAAGATGTATTTGACGCGTGACTTATGCCAGTTACAATTGTGTATTTCTTGTCAGATTGCGGTTAACTGAATAAAACAAAAGTTATTTAATAGCAGTGATTTTCGATTTTTATCGCCTTTTATTAATTTTTATTCGTAAATTGACGTTTTCAGATCTCTTAAAACATTCATGGTCATGGAGATCTGACCTTCAATGATCATGGGCGAATTTTTAAAATAAGTCAAAATTAAACGCGATGAAATCCCTAAAATTTGTTACAACCGGTGGCTTTTGACTTATATCTTACTACTTTATTTATATATACATATATATATATATATATATATATATATATATATATATATATATATATATATTACTCTTTATTACAAACACATTATGTACGCTCTATGACATATTCTACCAATCAACCCTGAACGTTGAAACATAAACAGAAACAGAAACTTTTTTATTCAATATAGATTATAAATAATACTTATTGAAAATCACTCTTTTGTTTAATTACCACTGGTTCGTAAGAAACCTCTGTCCTGGGAACAACCAGCAAGAAACCCAGAGGGACTTTTTTTTAAATAACGGCTTACAATGACAATTAACCACACAAAACAAATTAGAAATAGCTTGGTAGCGATCACGTCCTTCCCAGGGGTTATTATCATCCATAAATTCCTTAATGTTATAATAACCCTTTTTATACAAACTTTTTTTAATAAAGTTTTTGAACTTTGAGCAGGTTAAATTTTGTATATATTCTGGGATTTTGTTGTAAAAGCGTATACATCGTCCCAAGAATGATTTACTGACTCGGTGGAGTCACCCCCACACTACGATTTTCTCCTGTATCGTGGAGGCAGTTTACAAACATAAATTGCACAAGAACAAACATCCAGTCCTGTAACAATTATTTAGTACAAATGTAGGCCATACAAATATTTACTACAAGTAGTACTGTAGTTGTCCCAACCTGGGCTTCGAATCCAGGACCTCATGATATGCAACCACGCTTACGACCACTAGAGCAGCGAGGCGACTAGGCAGTCTATATAGTCTAGATATTTTTTTAGTGATTTCGACTACGAAAAGAGCAGTGTCACCAGGCGATTACTTCGTAACTGGTTTTAAGGCAAAATTAAAGACAATTTCAAAAAAAAAATTCATTAACAATTTGCCATTAAAAAGCAGTTTTTGAAAGATACAAGCTCAAGAAGATTGCTTAAACAAAGTCTCTACTGCGGGAGACATTGTGAGAAGGCGGCAAGGAACTCACTAGTAAATTATTTTTCCCAATCTTATGCTTTAAATGAGCAATTGTTGTGTATGTGGTATGTGTGTGTATATATGTGAGTGTGATGAAATTTTCTATTTAGATGTTTACTTTCTAAGTTGATCTAGATAGAGTGTCATCCCTGAGAAAATAATATTTTTTTCTAATGCCAAACAAAACTTGCGCAGTTATTAATTACAATACAACCTTATAAAATACGCATATGTAAGTTAAAAAATCTACGGAAGCTTTAGGTAAATAATCATTTATTTATTTATCCATTATTGCAACACGCCTTCATCTAGGAATAACAAAGGGCGGGATTAATGCTTAAGGCATTCTCTACCAGTCAACCCTTACAAAGATGGAATAAATAAAGATATTGGTATTGGTAGGTGTAAATTAAGGACAAAGAAAAAGAAAATTAAAAAGAAACAATTAAACTATTAACTCCTTTCTAGTTAAATATATTATATAAATATGATATGTAAATAAAATACATATATACCCACACATATACATTTATCCATACATACTTATACAGGGTTATCTTTTTTAATTAAAATGCGTTATTTTAACTGATTTCACTGCGCACGCACACATTCCTAAGGGTCAATAGGTAGGCAAAAACGTTGTTGCCCATAAATCACATTCAATTTGAGACAATTGCAAATAAAAATAGAAGCATTATTTACTCGTATTTTCAAAAACTGCAATAAAGGTACATCATTATTTATATATTTGCAATTAAGTTTAAAATTTGACTACTCTTTGAAAAATAACCCTGCCCTGTATACATATAGCTCGACGAACCGACAGCCGATAAGGAAGAAAGGTGCTCGAGCGGTAAGACATGCAGGAAAATCGTCCTTTGTGGCATTCTTTGGGGGAAGCCTATGTTAAGCAGTCGACTTGTGACGGCATATTTTATTTTTCAAATAGCTTTAATTTTATAAATACGCTTTTTACATACACTTCCAATTTATACATAGACAAATTTTATAGGTGGTAGAGCCACGCTGCAGCTATATAACGCTTGTAGCACGTGTTCTTCCCTTTGTTATCTATATTCCACGCATTAGAACTAAACGGTTTGCTTTGTCTTTTGTAATGCGTACAGCAATGGAGTGGAACTTCTCCCTGTCTTGCCATCCGAATACAATCTGGACGTCTTCAAGGCAAGAGTGAATAGGCTTTTGTTACGCCAAGACAGTGCGATTCACCATCCAGGGATTCATCACCTTTTACAGTGGTAAGTAACTTAGTGAGGAGGGATTGTGGTCAAGCACTGGCTTATAATAAAAGTTAAAAGAAGAAAACGTAAATGTTGCTTTTGAAATGAAACAGATTCTATAGTTGTACAGATCAATTATAAAACCGAGATATTAAGACGGTAAAAGCATTCGCTAATTGCTAACGGTTATAATAAACGCAACGGTTGTAAGAGGCGTACGCTGTCCCGGAGAGCGAGGTGAATAAAACCATAACTTGGCCGTCTAAATATAGTCTCAATGACTGCTGCTTTGTGTATTATTGA